ATAAAGTAGAAAAAAACTTATAATATAAAATCAAAAAAAATATTATAAAAACTGTTTTTATTTTCTTAATTATTACATATTCGATCTCACTATTTATTATACTAACTTTAAACCAGAGTTGTTAAACGTTACTTTAAAAGTTGCGTGCTACCGCTATCGCTATTTGTTAAAAAAAGTGGCTTATAAAAAAAATTTACAAACAAATTTTTTATTTTTTGCTTATAATGTTATTGTATAGAAATATATAAAAATCAACATTTATTTATAAATATTAAAATATAGTTAGTTTTAATTATAAAAAAAATTTATTTATGGTATTTTCTTGCATTTTAATAATCAAATCATTTCAATATTATCATCCCCAAGTCTATAGCGACTATCAGAAAGTATAAGTTATGCCTTATTAAATCTCTCGACACTAGCACTTGAGGGTAAGGGTGTATTTAATCTTCATATTTTTAATATAAGGGCGTATTTAATCTTATATGCATATTTTTCTTATAAGATAGATTTCAATAATTTTATTTGCAAGTACATCGTATGTCTAGCATCCTATTATCATTTAGAGGGCTAATGCCACAGATCTTCTTTTTAAAGTCCTAGATCTAGCCAATGGCCTGTGATTCCCAAATTAGCTCAAAAATATTTAATCAGATCAATTTATAAATATAAATAAGTTTTTACCTTCTGTATGTTCAACTATCTCCCGTGGTGCATATATATAATATCTCTACTATTAGAGCATCTTTCATCATTTTAAAGTTATTTGCTATCTTTATCATTAGTGACTGGCGGCATAAAATTGTTGTACCAGGGGGATAAAGTTTTAATCATCATGGTAAATGATGGATTATCAACTAAGGACATTGGCTGAACTGTATAAATTATAAAATCAATAACAACTTTATCAGCCAATTTCTGAGAAATATTGTCATTTGCATTATTAATTAATTTGGTTTGAATTGAATGAGTCTTTTTGGATGTAGAGTCGCCTATACCAAAATTATTTAGATGTTCCTCCATTTCCTTAAAACTCATGAACAGTCTTATAAAATAAATATTATTAGAATGTAAAAATGACAATTTACCTTTATGTGTTTCTTCAGGGTGTTGCTATAGCTACTGGATTGATTTGAGGAAATATTTTTTTTACATTTTAAACAAATAAATTTGAAACCAGTTTTGGTTATATATTTATTTTAAAAAATTTTCAAATCTAGTGAATGAAATTTGTATTATAGCTAATAACATTTTCTTCCCTGGTATCTTCCATTTCATTAATATCATCGTCTGAATCACTTTCAACGATTTGGATATCCATAGGCGATGATAAGGTTTATAATACAAATGAAAATAAAAATTACAAATTGAAATTATATTTTAATTTCAAAATTAAATAATAAATCATAAAAATTATAATTAATTATGATATTATATTTAATTCATGTTTACACTTACCTTCATTATATTTTTTAAAAATAGCGGCTACTTAGCTACTTTCAAAAAAAGTAGCGCGCTAAAAAATTAAATAATTACAAAAAAAGCAGCCGTTATTAGCTATAGCTACCAAAAAATTTAGCGCGCTACTTTAACAACTCTGCTTTGAACACTAAAATTTACAGTGCTATCAAATAATAATTTCATATAATTGTCATTTAATATTATTTACAATTTATAAACATTTCATACTTTTTACCTTTTTGATTATAAAAAAAAAAAAAAAAAGAAAGAAAGAAAGAAAGAAAGAAAGAAAAAGAAAGAAAGAAAATATTTTAGAAAAAAATTATTTTTAAAATATCTTGACTAAAATTATTTATAAACATAAAAAAATAAATAAAATAATAATAAAATTCAGATAATTATATTTAATAAAAATAATTTTTACATCAATAACACCATTGAAAGCTTAGCTCGTATGTTTATCATATCAAGTCACTTCAATAGATTTAAATTAAAACTCTCTCTATATTTATTATAATAATAAGTGCATGTATACAAACAAACGCATAACGATTTGATTTAATAAAAAAAAAATCTGAATAATTTAGGAAAATTCTTATATGTTTTTTTTAATTTTTCAAAAAGATTTAAATTTTAGTATGTGACCATAGATCATGATTTATTTTATTTTCCTAACGTATATATATTGTATATGAATCAGAAATGGAATTGTTAAAGTATCGGATCAAAGGATCGACGATTCTGAATCGCGATACAAATTTTTAGAAAAATTCCTCTGAGAAGGGAAGAGATCCTTTTCTAGATAGATCGTTCTTTTGATTTTGACCTGATCTTTTTCAAAATTTGAAAATATATTTTAAAAAAAATATTATAAATTTCAAATTTTAGCGTTCGTTGAATGCAAGTTGCACCCGATATTTTGGTAACCCATATGGTAATTATTCTCATGTTATAAAAACTACTATTAAATTAATAACTTGTTTTCTTTTCTTATTATCTCGATGATCAGGCAATTCTTTAAATAAAATTTGGGTCAGACATCGGAATAAATTGGCCCTCTCGTTTAAAATTTTTTTAATATTGATATGGGTTATCAAATATGGCGTCCTCAGCTGTTTTCATTGATGTACACTTTTAAATGAATGCATCGTCAAGTCTAGGTATTATGTCATTGCCAGTATGGCCTATTTTTCTTATAAAAAATTTTTGATCAGTAAATTTTATATATTATTTTTTTTTCTAAACTTTTATAGGTTGCAAATGTAATGATTATAGATACAAAATGTAACTGTAACATTTGCGAAAAAATAAAATGTGTATATTATAAACTCGGTTGATGAAAAAGGGTGAGAAACAGATCAAATGCACAAAAAAAACTGGCCTTGGGCGTATATTCCTAAATTATACCAGAGTCAATATTACATCTTATTTGCTCAAATATATACGTAAATAACTTATATTCATTTTATTTTTTAAAAAAAAATCCTTTTAATAAGATTGAGTTTAAGAGAAATTTGAATGGGAAACTATAAATAAAGAGTATAAAATAATATCTGATTTTAAATAATTTTTTTTTACAAAGATTAAGAAAATTAATATATTTTCATAATTTAATAAATACCATAAACCAGGGTATAAAAACAGCGTAAAATGGAGTAAAAAAAACCTTAAAAAAATCCGAGCCAATTTTTTTTTTAAAAAAAAAAGTATATTTTTAATGGAAATCTTATCCAAAGGTTTTGGGTTAGTGTTGTTAAACGGCAAACTCATTATTTATTTTATCCAGGAAAATACTACGCAAGCCTGAAGATTTTGCTAATAGACATAGGTCTAGACATATATTATCGAAATCAATATTTTTCTGGTTAAAATATTGTGTTAACTATTTTAAAAAAATCGGCTCAAAACGAGCTCTTTTAATAACACTGGTTTGGGTTAAACCACATCGATTTTCGTTCCTTCCGAATAATAGATAGACCCTAAATTTTATCAATTTTGTCCATATGATTGTTAAGGTTACTACTTTATAAAAAAATAAATAAATATTAATTCGTTTTCACAATTTTCGAATCGTTATTTGGCAGCAGAATATGGTAGGAAATTTTGGTAGGGTTGTTGAAAAGCTAGATTCGGGTAAGATTTTAGCGCAATATAATAATTATATTTCAGCCTCGAGATTTGTCAAATAGATGGTCCAAACCTTTCTACCATCTATAAACAAAATCTTCTCCAGGTTCAACATAATACTATTTTGGTTATAATTTTAATTCGGCTGTTTTTTTTAAAAAACGATCCCAAATCGGACTTTTTAAACTACACTAATTATTTTGATATTTTATTTTTTTTTCTTCAATTTTTAAGTTTTTTAAATCTATTTTAAAATTAATAATTAATATTGAACAAATTTATTGTTTTAAAATAGTTGGCAATTTTTTTTTATAAAAATATATATATTACATCTTTTCCTTTCAGCATCCTATCTCGCAAGCCCGGGATAATATGATGTAATCGGTAAATAATTAGTAGTGTTGTTAAACGGCGCGTTTTGAGCCGATTTTTTTTAAAAATGGTTAACTCAATATTTTAGCTAGAAAAATATTGCCTTAGCCCTCGAGAATTTCGTTAATATATGTCCACACCTTGGTTCCCTCTATGAGCAAAATCTTCAGGCCAGCTTAGTATTCTAATTTTTCTGGATGAAATACTGAGTGAGCCGTTTTTTAATAATCGGCTCAAAACGAACTAATAATTAGAATTTAAAAAAATTAAGGAGTTCAAAAGCTGAAAAATTGCACAAGAATTTTGAGTGTTTACACTTTTAGCGTGCTATAATAAATTTCCCATGAAATAAGAGATTTTTTCGCCCTCAGTGAAATACCAAACTGTCATTCAAGCGATAGGTAATTTATCGCTATACAAATAGCGTAGCTGTATAATTTAACATTCTCCATCTTGTATTATTACGCGTCGCTTAAGCGACAAATATTTTAGGCTTACCATGAACGATGCTTAAATGGATTTTGAAGAAACATTCAGAGATTCAAAAAAAATAAAATAAACAATTATAAAAAATCATTCATTCATATTTTGCATCCAATTTTTTTGAAAAATTTTTTTAAATAATCTTTGTTTGTATAATTACCTTTTAATTTTGAATAATAAATTAAGATAAAATCTAGATCTTTCTTAAAACCGTTACGGAAATCGCCCGAAACAAGAACCCTATCGTTTTAATATTTATTTTTAAAAAAAAAATGATAATAAATGTTTGCCAATAAATATATTTGAACAAATAAAAGTATTACAACTAAACGATATTTTATATATTGATTTAAAATTTGTTTGAGGAGAGATGGAAATTTTTTCGAATTCTAAAATTTAAGCAATAAAAAATAAAAATAATCAACAATTTTTTAAAAAGGTAATAATAAATGATTATTATACATATTTTAGTAAACATTTTAACTATGAATGTTTCTTCTATCCGTATTATATTTTAAAAATTCAAATAATTTCGTTTTCAAAAAAAAAAAAATAAAATAAAATAAAAAATGTTGAGATCAAAAAAAATAATATTATTACTCTCGATAATCATCATCCTATTCTTATTCGTTATATTATTGAGAAATATCGGAATAAAAAATTTGTATTTTCTTCCCACCAATAGCAATTTAGCAATGGACCTCGTTAATTATAACTATATATTCGATAGAAATTTATCCGAAGATGATCCGATCGTAATCAAATTTATCAAAGAAAAATTTATTGTCCAGGTTTTATTAAAAAATTTTATCTTGTAGGATTCAGAGACCATCATGAGCCGGGCCAGCCCGTGGCCCGCATGCCCATACCTGGCCGGCCCTTGGGCTGGGCTTGGGCCTAAAATTATTAAATTTAAATTTATAATAGTTAAAACAGTTGCTAATTTAAATGAAATATTGTTTGTTTTTTTTCTTCCAATAATAATAAATTTCAGTTATTGTAAACAAAATGATTGCCTAAATATATTTAAATATTGCTAATTTTCATCGGGCCTGGGCCGGGCTAGGTCAAAAAATTAAGACCGATGAAGGTTTCTGATAGGATTACAAAAATTTCTTTACACATTTTAATATAATATATGTTTTAAATTTGTATGATTATGAAAGCCATCAACCCATCCGTATTATAATCTTAGCGATAATTCTAAGAAAGATTTTTCGATGGGGCAAAGTGAAGTAGTTTATCGATATTATAAGCAAATGGAAAAATTAGGTAAAAAGAAAAATAAATAAAATAATTAATTAATTACAATTATTTTTGATTAAAAATCTAATTTTATCGCTTTATATACTATATTTATTGACTACTATATTTAAAATGGCTAAATTTTTTTACGTTAATAAAAAAGATATCTTTCGCCAATAAATAAAATCGATATAATTTCCCATAGTGTATAATAATAATACTAATAATATGAAAATCACGCAAATATTTGGTTAAAAAAAATGATTTTTTTTACTGTTTTGGTTTTCCAAGGAATTTTGAAAAGGGGTTACAGTTAACCGATCTCAAGATTTGGACCGGTTTCAGTTTCCAGTTCTACCGCTCTTATTATGCGTGTATGATTAAATATAAAAAAAATATAGGCAATTGGAACATAGTAAAAAAAAAAGTATCGGAACCTCATGAGATAATGCAATTGCATATTATTCATGCCTATATAAATAATATAGAAGATCCTTTCTAAATTTAAAAAAAAAGAAAAAGTTATTTCGAAGATTTGGGTGAATTTATTTGCAAGATTATTTTGAGATTGGATTGTGACAGCATGTACTGAAAATCTTATTAAGGAGAATGTAAAAATAGGATTGTTTAATTTGAATCGATCAAAGGTTAAATTCAAATACAAATGTTTTACAATATTGACTTTTATTTTATATATAAATAGATAAATAGTAAAAATAAATCTATTAAAATTAATTTTATAATATATAGTTTTTTTTTAAGTTTCATTGTCATTCAAATAACATATGTTTCGCTCTCAGTGGCAGAATCTTGTTTTTCACTATTTTGGTAAGAATATTAGCCATCCAAATCCATCAATTTCTTTTCTGAAGGAATAAATAGAACCTAGGAATTGTTAGTAAAATGTCACTTCTAAATAAGCATGGGTTAGCAAAGCCCATTCCATTAACTTGAGAACCTGGACGTTAACGTTTACACCTAATTTGTTATTAAACGCCGCTTTTTTGAAATTTATGATATCACTTAAAATATTTTGATCATCGCAACTTATAAAATCCCCGATTATTTTATTATATCACGTTCTTCATCTATACTAGTAAGATGTATTTAAGAAAGAAAGAAAAAAAGAAAAAAAACAAATAATTTTTTTGACCGTATTTGACCAGGTCAATTACTTCTTCTGTCAATTGACCGGTCAACTGAGTTAATTGGACCGGTCAATTGACCGACTTGCCAACTCTGGTTAAAAACCTAAGATGTAATATTAAATTATTCGATTCGAAATTATCATCATATACTTATTGGAATAAATTTGGGAAAATTATTTAATTAATCGTAAAGTGAGTGGTAATTTTTAATAATTGCTAGCGAGGTCTAGCTAGACTTATGGCAATTAGCTGGTTTTTAGCCCACCCCTCCCGCCAAATTCACCCATAGGTTTTAAATAAATATACCCACCCTCCTGCCCTTTAGCCCAAAATTTTTACCCCCCCCCCCCAACCACTATTTATAAAAAAATTTTTTTTTTAACACATTCCGAGCATATAAAATTTAAATAAGCGAATTTTTTTTTTTTCAATTTGTTTTAAGCATCTAATATAAAAATTAATTTCAGTTTCAATAGCTACACCACGGAAATTGCTATATTAATTTAAAAAATATATATATTCAATTTAAATTTAAGGATGAGAAATTTTATTTTATTTTATTTGATCTGATAAAAATATGTAACAATATAAAAAATTAATATTTGATCTGTTAAAAATATTTATGTAATAATATAAAAATTAATATTTGTTGATACTAAAAAATCTTACAGCGATGATATTTTCCTCGTTCAAGAAGAAGCACCGTTTGCTGGAATTGCTAATATTTATCTTGCCATATTTATCTATCTAATCTTGATATATCTTTGATAAAAAAAAAATTTTCTCGTAAGTTTCTATCAAATTAGGATATCCGTTTGAAGTAACCATTACTCAAATAAAATATTTAAATAAAAAGTGAAACCAATAAATAAAAACTGTTTATAAATTGTTAAACTTAAACTAAACTCAGTAGCCCTAAAAACTTTCTGAATTATATGAAAACTCGTTACAATATTTTAATATTTTTGTTAATGCTCACCTTTGAAAAAAGCCACATCTTCCTATCTGTTGTTGTTTAAATTTTGACGTGGATGCTATCTATTTCAAACATTTTGCATTTATAATTTAATAATCTTTTATTTGAATTCTCCTTTTCATTTTTTGGGGAAATGGGTAAAATCGAGATTTTCATCCACGTTGATATCATATTCATCCATGAAAATCAAATTCAACATACTTTTGATATATATTTTTTTTTACCTAATTAATTTCTTCCAATTATCGATACTTTGATATGTTAAAATGTTTAAAATTTTGGGGATCATATTTTTTTTAAAAATGTTTACGTAAATAAATGATATAACAAATAAAAGTTATAAATTTTTTAGCCCGCGCGCCGGCCTGCTCAATTAGATAGTCAGGCGTGGGCGGGCTGGCTAAAACCCCGCTTAATTGAATTTTTTTTTCTAAAATCAATTTTCCTTTAACCTTTTTTTTTTTTCTTACTTCGTCCAGATAAATTTTTATCATAAATTTAGATATTATATTATTATAAAATTAAATTAAAATAAAATAAAATAAATATAATATTATTTAACATCAATAAAATTCGGCACCCTTAGGGTATCATGATGGGATAATAATTTCGTTATCATATTTTTTATAATACGTCTCAATTAGGAACACAAATCTTTATCTAAAATTTTAAATACACATTTAATTATTGTTTTTGGCAATATACACTTATTGTTTGTGTCGATATCGTTAATATACAACATTATTATTACTCCATAAGGAACATAATATAAGAAAATCCGCCCAAATACCCTCTCCCATCTCTAAATTTTTTGAACGTTTTAAAAGTGGTGGGAGAGGGGGGGGAGGCGAGGTACGGTCTTGAATATCTGTTTAATAATGGTGGTTCCTGTTCCTAAATATTTTATTTAAAATTCTCTTTCCGGTTTTTATAATTGATTCGGTTCCAAATTTATCAGCTGTTCCCCCCCCCCTTTTTCAAGAACATTTTCAAGTAAATCTAAATACCAAAATAAAAAAAAACAACACCCAAAACGAATCGTATAGAATATAAGTGTGATTTTTTTGGTCAAAACAATATTAATCTAAATCTCAAAAATTTTAACAATAGATGGCAGAAAGGTTTTGGCCCCTTTTTTGAGGCTAAAATATTTGATTTAGCCATTTTTTTATTTTAAAAAAATTTTGACGAAAATTCTTAGAAATTTTTTAAATCGTTTCCGCTTCCTGTAAATTTAAATGCCGAAATTTTTCCATTCTTTTTTTTCCATAGGTTAATATGGCGGAGTTTGAAACCGGAACTAAAAATCAGAAACTCTCGGAACCGGTTATAACTTAAATACCGGAAACCGGAAACAATGACTGCATTCTTAATTTTTCTGTTTATTAATTTTTGTAAGGTAAAATCGCCAATAATGAATCGGGCTTTTTCATAGAAAGCGGAGCTCTAGACGGTGAAACTCGGTCCAACACCCTATTTTTCGAGAAAGAGTTGGGCTGGACCGGCCTGCTGATTGAAGCGGATCCCTTGAATTTCGAAAAATTGCTGCAAAAGCATAGAAAATCCTTTTCGGTCAACTCGATTCTTTGCCCCACCCGAGCTAACCCGCGAATGGTCAATTAGTTAAATTATTTATATATGATCATCTAAAGACATCTTATTTTATCCTTATGGCCCGAAGATGCTTTTTTAAAAATTTATGTTATCTACAAATTAATGTGCGAACTAACCTATAGGCAAACTCAGTTAGTTTGCAAACTAACTAAACAGATGTTTGCTCACTTTACCAATTTTATAAAAACTGTGGCCAATTGGCCCCTATTCAAAATCTAATCGTATTTTTCTTTTGCAAGCCAATATTAGAGATTACAAGGTGTCCATGTTATTCGACAAAAAACAACGTCGTTACATTTTGCTCTATAAAAAAATAGTAACGTATACTAAAAAAAATTGTAACGCTGTTATTATTTTTTTTGATCCGTTACAATACATTGTTTTCCTTTTATTTCATAACTCAATTAGATATTTATTACCCACACCCAAAATTAAAATATATAAATAATTGAAAAGATTTATTTACAAATGCATGTTCCCCCATTAAACAAGAATAATTATATATTAATATTTAATTTTTTCGGTTCTGATTAAGTGTCGTTATAAATGTCTCAATTTTTTCGAAAAAAATGGATAGCTCAATTATTTTAACCAATTATGCAAACCTTAAGATTTTATTCATAGTTTGCAGAAAGGCTTGGACACCTACAAAATTGCTTGCTTAATGATAATTTTGGCTAAAATCTTAAATTTAAAATCGGACTAGTATCTGATATGTAAAAAGCTTTGATTTTTGCACTTATATTTTTTTTTTAAAAAAATTTTAAAGTTGCAATTTATCCATTCCCAAGGAAAAACATGTGATTAGTGTTGTTAAAGGGCTCGTTTTGAGCCTATTTTTTTAAAAACGGCTCACCCAATAATTTAGCCAGACAGATGTTGCCTAAGCCTCGAGATTTCCATAATATGAGTCTAGAGCTTTGTTTCTTCTGCAGAATCTTCAGACTTACGTTATATTTTTCTGGATATAATATTGAGTTAGCGGGTTTTCGCTTTTTTAACAACAGTATACATGTGATTATTTTATAATATTTTTTAATTATATTACTTCTTCTAGGAATGAAAAAAAAGAGGATATATAGCTAACTGGCAAATTAGTTTGCCCGTGTCTGTAAATTTTTTTTTTAGTTGGGGCGGATATAATTTTTATATATTTTTTTAATGGAAAAAATTTTTATTTTTTGGGCGCAGATTGAATTCGTACAAGATTTTAATTTGGGCCAAATCAAATCTTATGGTAGTAAATTTCATGAAAGTCGGAATATGATTCACAAGCATACGTCCAAAAAGTTACCGTGTTTTTCGCTCTATTCGACCCTTCTAGCTATTGTGGAAAAGTATATAAAGAAGAAGGAAAAAATCTTTTAATAATTTATTATAATATAACATTATCAGTTTACTCTAATGGGAATCCCTTGAAATTTCCTTTAATTTATTAGTCAGTTTTTACTTTTATTGTATCAAACATAAACATTTCTCGTCTGATTCTTTGGTTGGCCAACTCATGTCCAACCAAATAATCAGACGAGAGAAGTCTACAAACTATGGAGATGAGAATGCTGAGGATGATTGCTAGGGTACAAGAAAGGATAAGGTGCGAAGTACAAGTATATTAGGAAGTTTAAAGGTAGTGCCCATTAAGACTAAGATAATGGTAAACAGACTTAGGTAGTATGGGCACACAATGAGAAAGCCCTATGAACTACATAGGAAATAAGGTTGAAAGTTTGGAAGTGATGGGCAAAATTAAAAGAGGAAGGCCAAAACTTCAATGGGGCCATCATAAAGTTAGAGCCAATACGAAGAAGTATAAATTGGATAAAAGAGATAGTAAGAAGAACATAAAGTGGAGAGAGATATTGAAGGAGTTTACCAAGAGAAAAAAAATATTTATTTTGCTTACCACCCTTAGAAAATGAATGGTAGATGATTATAGTAAAAAGGATGTAAAACCGAAAATCTAGTTTTTATTTTGTTTTTTGCGATTTAAATTTTTTAAATGAAAATTGACTTCGAAGTCCATAGAGCTTATTAATTTGGTAACTCATTTTTGAATGTATTTAGTCTGTCCTTTGTTTATTGCAGCAAGAGTTTCTTAAATCCATACTTTAAGTTTAGTTACATTTCCCAAAACTGATGATGATAATGATTTATCACTGTAAAAATTTAATCGATAACCGCATGAAGAACATTTTATTTTTTTATAAAATTTTTTTATAAATTTAAAGGTAGAAAAAGAAAACTTCACGCAAAATAATGGGATCATGAGATCTTTGCTAAAAACGAATTTTTGGCTATGATGATTTTTAGCTTATATCTTGTAAAAATATAATTGTGCCACTTGTGTGTGGGGAGAGGGGGATGTGTTCATTTTAAGATAGGGACACGGGGTGTGGAGCTTATATAAGATTGATATTTTTAACATTACACTTGGATAAGACTTTTGCCGAAACCTTAAAATTTGGTAACTCAATATAAAATTTGCACTTATATCCGGGTATATAATAACGATGGTTTGTACTCGTAAACGAATAATGTAAATTCAAGGAGCAAGATGTTTGAAGGATTTATAGTATAGGTGTTTTAGAATGGCAAAGCAAATTCAAATTAATACCAAAATGACCTTTAAAATTGAACCAGCTGTTAATATTTTTTTAAAAATAATAATATTATCGTATGTCACGCCTATACTCTCAAACCTATCATGAGTGTATACGATCAAAAAATAAAGTAATATTCAATTACATTAACCTAACCTTGACCGTCTCCAATTTGTGGCTTGGTCAAGTTTTTAGCCCCCTAAAAAATTGAATTAAGTCTCTAAGTTGAGTCTCAACTTGAAAGGTTGATATTGGAATATTTTTGCTTAAAAACATGGGCACGCTGAACAATACTAATTTACTGGGCGATTTTTTCGTTTAAAATGCAATTTAAAAAGAAACTTTTAATAAATGAATCAACGGTTTAGATTGACATCGTTTTATAACTATATATTTATAACTATATTAATTTTATTTTTATTAAAAGTGTGAATCTTTCTAATTATGTGCGAGATGATAAAATCCAGGTGGATTATTTTTCCTTGGACGTTGAAGGAGCCGAACTAGAAGTTTTGAAGACCATACCATTCGACAAGATATCCATAAAAGTAAGGATTTGTAATTAATTGATTAAAATTAATGATTCGTCCTTGAATGCGAATTCTACTCGGCTTACTGATTCGAGTGCTGTCTAAGTAATGTAAGTGGTGTAGAAAAAGGCGGAGAATACACACAGTTTTTAACGTACAACTTATACTCCTTTCTTTCTTTCTTTCTTTCTTTCTTTCTTTCTTTCTTTCTTTCTTTCTTTCTTTCTTTCTTTATTTCTTTCTTATCTTCCTTCCCTCCCTCTTTCATAAGGAATAAGATTTCCATAGGTTCAAATTTTTGCATTTTATTTTATGAGAGTGAAAGTGATACACAAACTGTCCTTTTGGACGGAAGTTGCACTTGCAATTAGAGAGAATATAAAGTTATCAATTTTTTTTTATATTTGTTACTTTTTTTAAAAATCATATTAATATATATTATTTTTTTTATAAATTAAAATTTGAGATTATTTGTAACTTTTCGATATATTATCAGAAATGTACATTTTAATTTTATTCGCCTCAACTAGTTCTGGATTTTATTTATTCTTCCCCATTCTCTTTTCGGCTGGCCCATATCTTACTTGAAAATTTTTTTCCCTTCCTTTGGTAATTTTTGTTTTTATAGCAAACAAAATTTATATAATAATTTATTTCAAATCGATTAAATAAAAGATAATGACAGTCGAATTCTTCCACGTACCCGGAGGAAAATTGGAACTCGAACAATTCATGCTTAAACAAGGTTTTCTTGCTGTCGACACCGTTACCAACCCAGATAACTTGGCTAACGACATAGTCTTTGTCAATAACGATTACTGGGATGAAAATGTGGGGAAATTAATTAATTCGGTTTAGGGAACATTATCAAAGCTTATATTTTATCTGAATGATAGAGGGTCTCTTATCGGCATCATGTCACTCCAAAAATATCGAATACAAAAAACTTCGCATGTCACTTAAAAACGACAAACACATATAATACATACATACCTAACAAATTTAATTTTATTAAAGAAATCATGTTAAATAATTTGGGAAAATTCTTAAGATATTTTTATTTTTAAATAAAATTTTGTAATCCTAACATTTACATATACGAATGAGATAGCGAATTATTAAAGAATTGGATCAAAAGATCGCCTATTCATAATCGCCATCCAAATTTCAGGAAGCCCTGGAGCACATGGATCATTTTCTCCGGATATTTATTTCAAGTTACCTAATTCCAATGATTAACGATAAAATGTCTTTTTCCAAAAAAATCGCTGAAATTGCAAAATAGTTAGTTTTGTTATATAAGAAATGACCTTACAATCGAGCCATAAAAGTTATCGATAACTCGGCTCGGCCTTTTAAAGCTGTTAACCAATTTATCTATTAATGAAAACATGCATCCTCCAAATTGAAATTTTCGGGTGTGCGATTTCGAGATTTGAGCAAATAGAGACCAAATAAAACCTTTTTGCAATCTACGAGCAAAATATTTCCAGGTTTCGCCTAATACTATTTTTTTTTTTGGCTAAAATCATGATTGGACCGTTTTAAAAAAACATCTTCCCGATTCGGCTAGTTTTTAACAACACTAACAAAATTGTAAAGAAGAAATTTCAAAGATGTAATTGATTAAATACGGAAAACAAAAATCAGAATCCTAATTTAGTAATAAATAGTAAAGGTACTATTATAAATTTAACGGTATAGAGGATTAATAAAATAACACTGATATTCTTGCATACTGAGAAGGTAAGATAAAATTATAGAAACCCGAATTCGATCTATTAGTAGTGTTGTTAAATTACCTGACCATCTCTATTGTGTCTTAGTAAAGCTTTTAGACTAAAAAATTGAATATAGCTTCTAAGTTGAGTCTCAACTTGAAGATTGATTAGAAGATTTCTGGGTAAAGATATGTCTACGCTGTTTTATAGTTGACTAAAGATAGGTAGTTTAACAACACTATCTATTAGTAATAGTAGCCATCATGCCTATCACAACTAACATAGATGCCGGCTGAGAGCCTTTTTTTTAGTATAGTATTCCATCCACGCAGAGGAAAAAAAAGATTGGACAAAGAAAAATTAGACGATATCTTAATTATACGTTTGTAATCACATATAAATAAAAATAGGCGATAAAATATTGGAGTTAATTTTAAAAAAACCTCTGTTTGGTTCTTCTCATACCATTTGGTATTTTATCATAAAATAAGATTATTTTAAATGCTGTATAAACTATATATGGGTTATCACCGTATAGAAAAATAGTAATTATGATCATTGAACCATTTATTATCATCGCTTAAGGGTTCTTTAAGCTTAACCAAATCTTAGCCTTTAATTTAATTTCTTAACACGAAACCTTTATAATTCCCTGAAACTTCAACCCGAACCGAACCTATATATCTAAAGTTTGACACTCTGCAAAAAAATTGCTTTCTAAGCTCTGAGATCGTTACCTATTTCTAGGTGTAATGATTTTCTAACAAAGCACTGATAGTTCTATTTCCAAGAGTATTAAACAATTTTTTTTAATTCATCTTGCTTCAGGCCTTTCAAGTGGTGGCACTGGCATGCGATCTTCATTACAACTCTTTCTCTATCTGCTTTTAATTCAAGTTTATATACCCAAAACAATATAAACAGCACCTCCCCCGATTTTCCTTCTGTCCTCACATTTTGAGATAACAACAGCTTGTCTTTATTTACCGTCTAAACCACCAAAATATAAAAAGATTTAGAATGCAAGTAATACCGCCCTTCGATTAGTTGTTTAGACTGATAGCAAATAATACTTAATGCTTATTCTGGCTAGGCTTTAATTGAAACCCATTCATTGTTCAAATTCACCAGAACCTTATAAATGGCATATAATTACAAATGTTTAGGACCACCAGTTGGCAATGCGGCTATCATTTCTGTTGATTAAGGACCCCCTGTTGCAAGTTTCTAAGCGACCTCCAATTCTGGTAATAAATCTACCTACAGCATACTCTTTAACCCACCCCTAACAAAAAGTTTACACAACATACAAACTGCCCTTATTGGACAACAAAATTTACAACGATAATTCCGTACATCTTAACAACATTGAATTAATATAATAATAATAATATGATATGAAAGTTTGGGTTAGATTTATTTAATGTTTTTTTAAAACAAAATTTAATACAATTTCACAAATTTGGCTATATATCCATTAAAGGTTATTTAACGCGAATAAATTTTTTTTTAAATATATAAGTAATAATAATTCTCTTTCATATAAGTATTTCATTCTTAATTATTTATCATCGAGTCTAGGTTGCCGTATAAATTCTCTTTCTCCATTAAATTTTTTTCTAAAAATATATATATATATTGATTTTATTTTATAGTCGATATTTATATATAACTGGAAAATATTTAAATTAAATTAAATCTAAATTAATCGATATTTAATAATGGGAATTTAAAATTTTGAATTTTGAGCTTTCTAAAACTTCAAAAAAATATCATCACATGTTAGGTTTCTTATTATAGTTTATATTTGTAAACACCCAAGGGGACAATTTGCTTAAAATTACGAGATAACACTATAGAAATAATTGCTACTAATATGATCAACTTATTACTCGGATAACTTGTACATAGTTTCATCTATACATATGGTGTCGTTGGACAGTACGGTGCCATCTTTTACGAATTCGTCATATAGTAAAGCCTTATCTAATCCTTTGCATTGGAGTTGGCAAGATTTTTCATCTATATAAAAGTTTTATTATTAAATTCGAGAATTGACATTTTTTTAAAAAAGAAATTGAACCTTTGACATAAGGAAATGTTCCCGTTTTACCGTGCTTTCTAGCTTCTTCCTCACACTCTAGATTATTAGCTTGTTCTGAGGATACTCCAAATCCTTTCTAAAAGTATTATAAAAATAATGTATACATATATACACAAAAAGTGTTAAAGAATGTTTGGTTTAATAACTCATGCGGGCAGCCCCAAAGGGATACGAATTCATTGTCAGTAGAGCGCCTCTATGTGTTTTGTAACATTATTGAATAAAATCATTAGATGAATATAAGGATTTAGCTCAAATAGAATAGTTTTGGATGTACAATTTGTAAAAAAGTAATAATATAAAAAAGGATAAATTATAAGGAATGCAAGAAATCTGAATAAGATGAAATAAGTATTAGTTCTTTATTTATTAGTGAAATATTTAGTTATATGGGCTTAAAATCATTTTAAAATCTTATATATAAGATGAAATGCAAATGTATTATGAAAATGGTCATAGTCAATTAACAAACATCCACTATATTTCCAGGCTATTCACAATAATATCATTTAGTAGTAATCAGAGACCTGCCTCGGGCCATATTTTAATTTTTTTTTAAATTAATCCGAGACGGGTGGGACCGTATATTTTAAAACCAAATATTTGAAATCGCCATTATTAACTGTAAAAATCAAAAAATGAATAAAATACATTTTAAAAAAATCCAGGCCGGGCCTAAGAAACCGAAATAATTTTTTTCATAAATCCGGGTTGGACCGTACAAATGGTACCTCAGCAGATCTCTGACAGTAATGAAATATATATAGTATCTAATATCAATAATACACTACCCAGTAAAGTCTAGAAATGAAAAAATTATGAAGGTACCCGTTTTCTTATTATATATATAAATATTATTTAGCTTACTTTACAACTGATGAATCTATCAGGTACTCCGCTGCAACCTGATCTAAATAGATATAAAAGTTAGAAAGTTTATATCAGATGTAATACTAGGATCGCGATTACAAGAGAGGCAGAGATTGGTGGGCAAAACCCCTGCCAATTATTTTTCAATTTTTTTGGTTGCTCTAAGTTAATTAACAATTTTATCCTTAAATTATTTATATATATATTTATTCCAAAAAACTGTCCTTTTCAAATAATCCCACGGGAACATGTTAAAAAGATGACAAAGAGTATGATAGAATCGAAAAAGTTGGATCACCTGTCTCCCACCCAGGAAATCCTGGTTAAGGACCCTGAATGTAATGTAATATAATCTATGTATGGCAAGTAGTGTTGTAAAACGCTTGTATAGAGCCGATTTTTTAGAATGGCTAACTCAATATTTTAGCCAGAAAAATATTGTCTAAGCCTGGAGATTTCGTTTGTTCCTCAAAATATTCAGGCTTGCGGAATATTTTTCTGGGTGAAATATCGAATTAGCCTTTTTAAAAAATTGGCTCAAAACGAGCCGTTTAACAGCACTAATGGCAAGTTAATCTGTAATAAGGATCCACTTTGGAAGAAAAATATTTACACGCGAAATGGAATCTCTCAATTTTGAATTTTCAAATGACTTATTGGGGAGGCCATTCGAAAAATATCTATAACAAAAATAAACTAGCATATAGACAATAGACCTAGCCACCCTAAATTTGAGATTAAACCTTTTAAAAAGAGAAGAAATTATTCATTGCTTCCAAAATTAATAGGATACATCTTTTTGAGTCGATTTTAAAAAATTACCGCCGAAGCCAAAGTAATATTATGAAAGTTTAGAGATTTTGGGAATAGATGTCTATAAAAAAAACCTTTTTCTTTGCCATTTATCAGCAAAATCTCCAGGACTTAACATAATATTAATTTTGGGGTTATCATCTTTTTCGAAACCTGAATTGGGGTTTTTTTTTTACAACGCCTAGGGTAGTAAATACTCTTATTAGCTGGTATTCATTTTAAAAATCATTTTATAAAAATACTCCCTCATTAAATGGATTTAAAAAAGAGAAAGATTTAGAAAATAGTGGAGGATTCAAGATTGTTCCTTATTCCAGGTAAATACAGGATCATATAGAAACGCAGATATTTATAATGACTTACAAGTTCATTATAAACATATAAATTGATTTATAAATGAATCATTGTCTCTGAGAAAAAATCATGTGGCCAAAAAATTTGTTGCTTACTGAGGTAAGAGGAAGTATGAGTAAAATACCTCGATTAAAATTGATTTTTAAGCGTTGATACAATGATATTTTATTACTAATTTATTTTTTACTTGTTGTTATCATCGTCACATTCCATCTTTTGATAAGGCAATTCGAAACCCTTGCACCTATCAATTTCCCACATTACGCCATCAATCATTTTTTTTTCTTCCGAAAAAGTAACATCTTCATATATATATATATATATATATATATATACACAATTATGAAAAAAAAGAAGCAAAATTACCTATTAAGCTAGCAAAGATTACTAATATTCCAATGATAATCATGTTAACAATATTAATTATTTTTTTGGAAAATTTAAAAAATTATCTTTGAAAATTACAAGAAATATATAAAAATAGGAATAGAAATGGCCTGATATTGATAAAAATTTGTTGTATTTATAGTGATTTATATAATTTATTTTAAAAAAATAAATCAAATTTTGCAAGTAGTTTTAGATAAAAAAAATTATTTGCCTAAATCTTGGTTTAAAAATCAATTCCAAATATTTAAATTATGGAGGAAAATTGATCGTATTTTCTTAAGAAATATATTCCCTAACATAGCTGACAGGTAAGATTTTTTCAAAAAATATTTAATTTTGTTGTAAAAAATGATCTGCCAATATTTATACGATTTTTATTATATCGATATTTTATCACCCTCAATGATGAAGTGAATATTTAAAATAAATATGATTTCAAATTATAATAATTATAATAGCCAAAAGGCAGTAAAAAATATTTTTCGATAAAAAAATTAAAAATTTTAGATAAAAATATAAAATTTTAGATAGAAATATAAAATTTTAGATAGAAATATAAAATTTTAGATAGAAATTATAATTTTTTTAGATGTAAGTATAATTGAAATTTTTTTTTAAATAATACATTTAAAAAAAATCATGTTGAAAATGTGGCAGCTAATTCTTAGTGACAACAGTGGTTTCTCTTTTAAGAATTGGATGCCTTAAAATTAAATTTAAATAAATAATAGATCCCTGAAAAGAGATCTTTTATAGGGTTACGGCTCTATCTGAAAAATTTTAAAGAAAAATATTTGCCTCCTTAGATCTCGAATAAAAATTTATAAAAAATTTTGATAAGAAAAAAAATATGTAAAATTTTGTCTTTATTTTTGAATAATTAAAAAAATATTTTAAAAAAAAACAAAAGTCTGGTCCGGTCTAAATTAATTTAAAATCCGAACCGATATAGCCTATAGCCGATAAAATATTCGCCCGGATTTTGTTGACCGGTCAAAATTAGAGCAGGGTTTTAATTAGCCGTCAACACGGTTTCTAACCGACTCGAATTTTAAAAATAGATTGTTTTTTTTCAGGGCGTAAAAAAACAATAATTTTATACAGGGTTATCCAACCCGGCACATGATATTTTTTATAATTTTTTTTTATGATCGTTAAACTAACATATATTTTTCCAATTTTAAGGCTTTGGTCAGTAGGAATATTTTGGCGCAAGTTGTCTGGCCCTAAAAGTTCAAAAGTCGAGTCGCGACTTGAGTTCACTACACAAGTTCCAGAACTCGCGTCAGTTGACTCAAAACTGGACACTTCGACAGGAGAACTCGACTATTTAACAACACTACCGAAAACTTCGACCGACCTGAATCAATGTGTACCTTAGATCGCAGGAAATTCCTTTTTTTTTGTATTATATAGGACATTATTCGTAAATAATTGATTTTTTCTCATATATAATTTTTTATTATTATTATTTAAACCTTCTCATTATTCATCTAAAATAGAGAGAAAAATAAATCTTATAGGTTATTTTTATATATCTAATCCTTGATACATTTTTTAAAAAAAGCAACTTATTATTTACACTTGAACCCAATAATTATTTTATTTATTTTTTTTTCAACTAAAACATTTGGGAAATTTTATATCAATAAGAACTGTGAAAAATACATGGTCCCCGTTTCAGGAATAAATCTAGATTCAAGATTCTAAGAGAGAATTAGTGTGCGTTCCTTTGAAACGCTTTTACCCCTCTTACCTTCTTCCTTTAATTTCTTCGTCCTCAACTTTCTATCAATTCTCTTAATATCTTAATTTCTAACAATTCTTGCTAACTTTTATTAATTCTTTAAAAATATCAAAAAATCGAATTTTTAACTTCTTTTTTTTAAATTCAAAATTAAATTTCATAATTTCTTTAACCATGAAATAATATATCAAAAAACAAATATAATCATGAAAATAATAATTCTATCCAATCAACAATATGCAATACTATTGATTGACGGTTTGCTTTATAATATATTAAAAATATCGTAAAAATTACGTGGACACCCATAACCCCGCATGTACCGATCCTCGGCGAATTATTCAAAATTTGCTGTCAATATCTAATTCTGTATGACTGATATGGTGACCCTAAGGAAGAAGATTTGTATAGCTCATTTGTTCGCAAAGGATTAAGGAGAGCATGCTGAGATGGTACGGACATGTGTTAAGGAGGGGGGCTCAATTAACGTGAATCAGCCAGTTATCGATCTCGAAGTGGCGGAGCCAACAAACTAGAGGCAGGTGTATCCCTCAAATCAGGAAGGACACGTGGAATGAGAAAATTGACATTCATATGGCCCAGAGCCGCCCACATTAATATGTTTATCTTCCAATTATAAATTATTTTTTTTTAGTAGGCTTTTTAAAATGGAAAATTCTCCTTTATTCCAGAGAATACTTACTCTGACAAATTTTAGACAATGGAGTCCCTTTAACATTTGAGTCATTTATAGTTTTTATAAAAAAAAAAAATTATGTGGAAAAAAGTATTATAAATTATATTAGATTCAATATTTTTGGCAAAATTAGATGGTTTTCTACCTATGAGAGAGATACATATCCAAGAATTTTATTTTATAAATTTAAAAAAAAAACGTGTTCAAAGATAATGATTTAAAGTTCAAAAAATAAAACACTGATTTAAAAACTTATTATGTACTTTAAAAAGAAAGGAAATAATCTTAATATAATCTCTAATATAATATTATATATAAATATATTGTAGTTTTATGCCTTACATTTTATCTCGTTACAATTTACATTTTTTTTATCACTTAATTTTAATTTGCATTACTTGAATGACTACTAATCATTTAATTATTTATATAGTAAAAAAATTTTAAATTATTGATGGAAGATAGATATTAAAAGACAATGCATATATGATTTTAAGTAGCGTTTAATAAATTGATATATAATTTTTGATATATTTGAATTAATAAAGGATATGTTAAATACATCAAATATACCTCATTCACCATGTATACAATTAGCAATTTACAATAATTTTCTGTTCTAAATATACACCAAATCCAAACCAAATTTATAATTATACAATAATATTATAAAATATATTTATATATGTATATAATATATTTCTTTTATAATATATAAGGATTTCCTAATTTAGTAGGTTTAAAAAAAAATACAATAATTAGGTATACATAGATAACTAAATATTTAATTTTATAAAAGATTATAAATTAAAAAATAATTTAACTATAAAATAGTTGTAGAAATTAAAAACAATTCGGACCCACTAAACTAATCCGCTTATACTAAGCTACAACATGCACATGTTTATTCAATCTTTAATATATACATTCAAAAGGTTTTTCATCATATGGAATCAATTGCTTAAAATATGAATGTGTTACAGGGCCGTAGCCACGTAGGGGGGGGGGGCCTGGCCTTCCCAAAAAAATTTTTGGCCCCCAAACCTGGCCCCCAGAAAAAATCTTCGGCCCCCAAAAATTTTTCTGCCCCCCCCCCAAATTTGAATTTTTTTTTTAGAATTGATTATTTTTATATTTTTAATATAAATTTTAAATATTTATTCAAAAATATTCAAAAAACATGTCTATTTAGAATTGATTATTTTTATATTTTTAAAATAAATTTTGAATATTTATTCTACAAACATATCTAGTTTGTAAAATTTTTTTTTATCCTGTTTTATTTTTATTTTTACCCAATATTAAATTATCATTCATTCATTTTTTTTCATCTGTTTTTGTTGTGTATCACATTCTCTATAGGTATCACATTAATATTATAATGTATAACCAGTTATTTTATTTTAGAGCGTTTATTTTAAAATTATGAAGAAACAATCAATTATAAACTCTTATTTTAAGTTAAAGTTAAACAAATGTCAAGCAACATCACCTCTACAAACTACTAGTAATACTACATCAGAAATTTCAGAAACTGATTCTTCTCATAGTTAGTATAAATTTATATTATTATTTCATGACTTATATTATATTGATATAGGGCAATATTTGTATATTATTATTTAATATAATATATTTATTTTATATAAGATAAGAGAAAGACATTTATTATTAATATTATCATTTTTGTATAATAATTTTAATTATTAAAATAAATATATTTACTCATATTTCAAGATATGAATGAAGCTAATCTAGAAAATCAAGAGGAGGAAGATGGTAAATAGTTTAAAATTTAACCCAAATTTTTCTATTTATATATTTTTGACAATATGAATAGGAGTAGGAGATTATGGTGTTTCATTATTACATTTTGATTTTAAAACAAATAAAGACGAAGAAGAGACTCAATCATCTTCATCTAGCAGCTCAGTCTCTCATTGTCAAGAAGCATCTAGTAATTGATTTATAAATATAAAAATATTATATTTTTTTGTTAATCTTTAAAGATATAATGTTTATGACTTTTTTCTAGTTTTTAATACTGAAATTTTACTGATCAACTTTACTGATAATCTTCATCAGGGTTGGGCACTACAGTAACTTGTATCTTAAATACAAAATAAATTTTGTGTTTGTTCATTTTCAGCATGCCCTTCCTTCGCCCATCCTGATGACCATTATTATTTATGACCCTTTCCCTCATTACAATTTATTAATTATAATATTTTTAGTGTCAAAAAAGTCCTCTAATGGTTCAATTCAAATCCCTGGTGACCTTGGCCAGAATAAACCAAATCAAATCAAATTAAACAATTACGCGAAAAAAGATATCCATGGAAGGCAAAGATCATTTCAAAAATCATGGTATAGAGGCCGAGACTGGTTGGAGTATAGTGTAGAAGCTGACGCTGCCTTTTGTTTTCCATGTAGGAAATACTTGTGTAATCCAAGTGATGAATTTGGACAAACGGGATTCAGAAATTGGAAAAATGCGTTAGCTGCCAAGAAGGGACTGCTTAAACACGAGAGCTCAAAAGCTCATTTAAATTCAATTACAATATGGAATGATAAAAATCAAAATATAAACAATGGTACAGAAATAACTAAAATGTTGGGAGGTGATCAAATTAATCGTAATCAATATTATATTAAATCAATATTTGATTTGATGCTGTTTCTTAGCATACAATAGCTACCTTTCCGTGGGACTGGTTCAACAAATATTACGGATGCTGCAAAAGATGAAAACATAATTTATTCTTCTGGACTATTTATAGCAATGTTTTCCTACACCATCCAAAAAGACCCTGAATTAAATAAAATTATGAAATTTATACCCTAAAATGCCCAGTATACATCACCACAGATTCAAAACGAAGTAATATCCATTATGGCAGATATGGTGCTTGAACATATTTCAGACAAATATAATAAAAGCGAGATGCCTTTTTTTTGTCTTAAGGCCGATGAGACAAAAGATGCTTCAGGTTGTGAAAATCTGAGCATAATAATTCGCTATATTTTTTCTGGAGAAATCCAAGAAAATTTAATAGGAATCATTAATTTAGAGTGTCTTTCTGCTGAAAGCATTACAGATTGCATTTTAAAGCAACTTAATGATCTAAATATTAATTCAGCTAATATAATAAGCCAGGCATATGATGGTGCAAACGTTATGTCTGGCCGAAATGGAGGAGTGCAAACACTTCTTCAAAAAAAAATTAATAAAAATGTTCCTTTTATACATTGCTACAACCACAAGTTGCATCTTGTGGTTCAAAATTGGTATAATAATATTGTTATTATTTCTAAATTTTTTAATTTATCAAATGCATTGTATAATTTTTTCAGGCGTTTTAACGTATCCTGTAAATATACAGGCCACACTCTTAAGAGACTTTTAGAGCAGAGATGGACTGGTCATTTAGAAACATCTCGCATTATTTATGAGAATTTTGAGGCTATTGGTGAAGTATTATTCTACTTTTCTAATAGAACTCTTAATTCCGAGGTTTCAATTCATGATTCAGTCGAAGCCTCTGGTCTTTTATCTCAATGTATTAATATAAATTACATTATATTAGCCATCATAGTTTAATTACAATAGATCCACTAAATAAGTATCTACAATCAGTAGGTACTAATTTAGTGGATGCTAAAAATTGTATTGATTTTACTATCAATATATTAAAAAATAAAAGAAGTAATAATTCTTTTGCTTTGATTATGATTAAGGCTGAAAAACTTTTATCAAAATTTAATCTTACTCCCCAAAAATCATCACGGGTACGTAAAACGCCTAAAAATTTCCAAGATTTTTTAGTTGATAGCAAACTAGAATTCGATTGTGAAAAAGACTCCAATTGGAGTTCTTTAAAAAGGATATATTATGAAATTATAGATAACTTTGTGGATCGTTTTTTAGACCGATTTACAGAAGATGATTTTAATCTTTTTTCATCTTTTAATACATTGTTCCCCCTTGACCCTGATTATTTTTTATCAGATAAAATGGCCCCATTAAAATCCCTGTTAAACTTAAATATGGAAACACTGCATCATGAAATGAAGATAGCAAAAGGATTGCTAGCTTCGGAAGCTAAAGAAAATCATAATTTTGAAAACATCTTACATATTATGTATAAAAAAAATATAATCATGCATTTAAAGAATTATATAAATGCTACTCAGCAGCGATAATCATTGGGATATCAACGGCTTCTTGTGAGGCCTCGTTCTCTACATTAAAGAGAGTTTTATCGAGCAGTAGAGTCTATGAAGGATAAACGTAAACAAAATGTAGTATTAATGGCGTATGAAAAAAGAATAACGCAGAATTTATCTTTTAGTTCATTTATATTAAAATTTAAAAATAAAAATCGCCGTATTCTATTATAGTAATATTTTGTTTTGTATATGCATATTATAGTATTATTTTTTTTTGTATATTCATATTATAGTATTATTTTGTTATTAAATTTTTAATAAAAATAGGCAAAAATTTCTATGAATGCGTAATTATTTGTTTGATAAAAAAATAGTGGCCCCCCCCCAAGTAAGCACTTGGCCCCCCTAAGTGAAAATTCCTGGCTACGGCCCTGATGTGTTAGGTAGTTAACCTTACAAATTATTATATTAATCATAAATATATATATATACATAATCATTATAACCATATCTAATACTACTTCACTACAACCACGACCTAGAACTAACTTAGAGTGCTGATCAACATTGCACTAGAAAAAAATATTTTAGTTAGCATTGATATGTTATAAACTCCCCATCTCTATGCATCAAAAGTTAATAAAATAAAAACTAAGAGTGGATTGAATAACTATAAATAGAGTAAAAAAAATTTCAATTAGCTTCTAATTGATATCTCTATCGGTCCTTCATGATGATCAAAATGAAAACCTTTGACCCACCCTCTTATAGCGGAGACTATCGTCGCAGTCAAAAGATATTTCAATTTGCTTTCATTTGGTATTCATATTTTTGCTATAAAAAAAATTAATAAAAATCCTGACCCCCCTCTCCTATTCTTACTTCCAAGATTTAGATCTACCCACTTGGAAAATAAAAATCTTTAAATGAATTAGGTAAATTATTCATGGTTTGGAGAATGTAAAGAAATTGTTGGGAACATGGCTAGAAAACTGCTTTAGAAAAAACCCCATTTACCTTAACATGGGCAAAAGATTATTTAAATAACTTTCGTTGATAGTGATTTCTTGAAAAATTATTCCATTATTCTAGATACAATATAATATAAAATGTAATTAGAATTTAAAAAAATAATTACACTTGCTATCATAACAAACGACGTTGTTTTATAATATTTTTTGTATTATGCTATAAACTGTTAAATGAAAAAGTTGCTAGAGTATAAAAGAAGGGGATGCCAGAAAAATAATTTAATGATATACCCCCTTTTGAAAAATTTTAGACTATTTGAAAATCAGATTGCTCAACCATTTAAAGTCCTAGGAGTCAATTTGACATCACATCATATTGAATGTTATTTTTTAAGGATTAATTTTTTTTAATGGTTATTTTTAATGCATCATCATATTATGTATTTAAAATTATTTATTTTTTTAATTATATAACGTCTTATTTTAAAATTTCTTATATGTAAAAACATTTTAAGAAAAAACATTATAAAAACGAACTATCATATTTTAAAAAAGCGATTTAAACGTTTAAAAATATATTTAGATTGATTCCTTCGGGAGGGGGCTTCTGAGTGTGTTGCATAATATAATTTAATATCATAATATACAAAGTTAATTGAAGCTTTAAACTATGACTATTTACATATACAAAAACATTCACTAAATAATATATTATTTTATTTCTACATACGAAGCCTCAAACCATCAATTGATTTACCTTAAATTGATTTACTAGATATATATAAAAGTTTTTGACTTTCTATACGCGCGATAATTTTACTTGTAAATAAAAATTACTTTTTTAACGACTTGATATATATATATTTGCGTTTTATTTAAACACTAATAAAAGAATAAATTTAATCGCATTTTTATTATTATTTGGAGATATCGTTATTATTTATTCTAAAGCAAACGAAACCAGACTGACATATTCTTATCCTATCACTTATTCGTTTTAGCGCAACCAGACTTACATATTCTTATTCTACTACCGATTCTTTTTAGCGCAATTATACTTATTTGCGTCATGGTGGAGGATAGGGGCACCAGCTTATTGGAAGCTGGTGCGGAGACTGAATTCAACATATATGCGCCTGGTATGGGTCTGAAGTTGAAGAGACGTGTTAAAGAGACTGGTTACATCCTTTGCGTGGGTAGGTATGGGTCTGAAGATGAAGAGACCGTTGTTAGAACAGAGTGAATCTAATGTGATCAGACGTCTTAAATAAAATTCCTCCAGAGGTTCGTTGGTAAATTTACTAATGCCTGAGCCTAGTTATATAGAGAAAAAGAATGCAAAGCTGCCATTTGTGGCTAAAGTATTTGAGATGATTGGTATGCAAATATCATCGGATATTTCTGAATATTTGGGTTATATTTAATTAACCGCTCTTTATGATCTAAGATGTTGTAAGATTAGAATGAAGAAAATTCATTGAGTAATAGTCTCATATCAGGAATTCAGCTCTTTTGCATGGGGATTAGGGTAATGATATTAATGTCTCCAGCCTATCCGAAGAAATTAGGAGATTTTGTCATCTAGAGAGAATAAAATATGCAGGATCTAATCTTAACGATTTTTATAGATAAGCCAGATGAGCATACTAGTATACAACTCTTAATAAATTATATAATTATTATAAATTTATTTTTGATGGAGTTTACACTCATTTTTTCTTGAGGGGGGATATGGAGTAAAACGCCTTCAAGGGGAGTAGGATAAATTTATTGGGGGCTATCTATTTAATTTTTATATTGAAATAGGACAAGATACATATTGCATTAAAAATTAATACTTTTATTATAGACCTTACAATACAATGATTTTACTGATCATAGACCAAATCTATATATTGCAAATAATCATAGACATTATTTTCCAAATAAAACTTCCTACTATCCTTTTTAAATGTAATTTGAAAGGGTTAGACATTCTCAGCAAACTCATATTCATACCAAAAACTTGCTATAATAAAGCATTCATTGTAAATGAGGGGGTTTTTAAGTGAATTCATGATCTAAAAAAATAACTATTTATTTTTAGTAGAGCTAAAATAATTAGTGTTTGTTATTCTTTTTAAAATTTATAAAGGGTGTACTATTATAATTAAAAGGGTTTAATTAATATTGGGTTAGGAATACGTTTTTAAGTGGGATTTGTATTCAGTGAAAATCCTGTCATGTAGACGCTGGTTTTTTATGTAGATTTTAGGTCTACGTTCACTAATTTCGAGTTGAGAAACAACCGATCCTAATGTTAAAAAAAAATACTCACACAACATCAAACGATAATTTAGCCGTATTTTATATTACAACGCATATTTAAATATTTTAAAAAAAATTTCTTTCAGTTTTCTACGATTCTGTAAAAGATATCGAAATTTTCTCTGATGTTACTTACACTCCCAAAGAAAGTATAAATTGAAATTAGTTTTTAAAAATAAATGGATTAAGTAAAATGATAGACAAAAAAAATATTAAATTCTTTCTAAATAAATATATAAAATGGGTAATCTGGTGCACCTTGATATGTAATTTAACATTAATAATATAGTACAAGTTTCACTAATGGTATATGAGGCATCCAGCGTTCGTGAAGAGTAACATATATAATAAATTATCGCATTTAATTCATAGCCCTCAATAGTTTAGCGGCCATTTATAATTATAAAATACATATCATGTTGATAACTAATAAATATTGAATTCATCGCTTCAAAGATAATTTTGGTGCCAATTTATGAATATAAAACGTGTAAATATAACTAGAATTAATCTATCTTATCGATAATTTTTATATATTCTTATCTTTAGTGTATAGTGACATTTTTGTATTTTCAATTCTTCATGTAATCCTTTTTTTTTATAAATTAATACCTTCCTGGTGAATCAAGTGTATTACTTTTATCATAGTCAGTTATATTCCTTAAGCCACACTAAACCGAACCTCCTTAGCACAAGAAGTGCAATGAGAATATAAGTTGTTAGGTTTTAAAAACAGTTATTTCAGATCATCAAAATTTATTAAAATCTTCAGAATTTTTTTTATAGAAATTATGATAAATTTTCCACAAATTAATACGTGGGAAATAAATAAGAGTGACCGATTAGTAACGACATCCTTGTATATTTAAGCTTTGGTAAGAAAATGATTTGTTTTTATAGACTTTTAATTTAAAAAAAATGTTCTCTCATTCCTGTGTCCCATGATTTAGATACAAATACGCTAATGTTTTATATTTCAATGAGAATCATCCTGTAAAGTGTCAATCTGCCAAAAAATTAAGCTGAGACCTGGGTCAGTTTTTTAACATTCATTGAACCAGATTGGAGCTTAATACTCAGAGGAATATAAAATAATGTTGTTTTTTTTTTAAATTAAAGTAAAATGTTGAATTTAATCTCTCTGGGGTGAACAAAGCTAAAACCTAAATTAAATTTATTCCGAGCCCGAACTCCAGGTTAGAAGTAAGTATTAGACTTCACTGGGTTTAAATAGTTAAAAAAATATATATTTTGAAAGGCTCTAATGTTAAAACTATAAGAATGATTAGTTTGCTTTGTGCTGAAATAAAATCGTAAGTTTGGAGGTATTAGAAGTCAGATTCCACATACAGCACAAACAAAAGTAATTTTTAATGCAAAAATTAATAGGCAAAATATATTACCATACAATAGAAAATAAATCCAATTTTAAAAAAGAGTGGTTAATTTATTTTAATAAAGGTAAAATGAAAATCTGAAAGATGGTGATTACTTTTTGATTTTAGATCTTACATCTGTCCTAATTGAATCATTGTTTCTGTTACAGAGTCCAAAATAGATTTATGGCTCTAAATCAAGGGACATAAGGTCATCCAGTCTTTTAACATCAGTTAGGGATGTATGAACTGGTTTAAGACAATTTCGATAAGCCGTACCCAATAAATGTGAGGCTATAGAAATAATTGATATATGGCGACTTAACCGCCTTTTAGAATATAAGTAAGTTAGGCTATGTTTACCTTTAGGATCGGACACTTACCTACACTCTTTACTTTTATGAGGCAAAAATATGCGATAGTATAAAATAAACCTTATTGTCATCCTCAACTCCTAGTATGTTATCAACCAATCTAGATTGACTTTTAAAACGAGTCTAGCCATTCATTGTCCGAGATTTGCCCTAAAATTGGGAGAATTAAAATTAGTTTAGTGTCTCTTCCCATGGATTCCTGGGGGGAAATAAAAGGCCTATATCTTACTCATAAAATCACAGGCAGTTTTCAAAAAGACCATCTCTTCCTTTCACAATCCCACACGCTTTGAAAACCGGATAGAAGAAAGACCGGCAGATATATCAAATTAGGGAGGGAGAAATTCCGAGCCCTCTTGTCTGGTTGAAAATTAAGCTATCGTCGTCCAATACTGTAGGTATTGGATGTTAATGCTAACTCCTAGGAAGTTTTCCTTTTTATCATCCATCGAGATAATGAAGAAGTTATTTTATAAAAAATAGAGCCCTAAACTGGCTTAAAATTTTTAAAGCCATTACGATTTCCCTATCAAATATTAGAATTTTTTTAGTCGGCCTTTGGCCGAAATATTTTGCCTAAATATTTCCAATTATTATTCCATTTCAAAATTTTAAGCATTCATTTTTCTCCTTAGGAGGATACACCTTAGCCTCCCTTCATTTCCTCTTCTATTATAAATATTATATTTAATCACCTTTTTTTTTGGCTTAGATGTTGTTCATTATTATATTTTTTAAAATATCCCCTCATTCATCTTTCTACATGTTTTTATTTTCCCTAAGGCAGCGAAGAGATAATTTTTCTGAAGATTTCTTCAGAAATTTTATAAGTTTTTTTTATAAATATCTAAGTTAATAATAATAATAAAGGTATCTCCCCTTACACTGTCACAAACCCTTTTAATACAATATGCAATGATTTATATTGCAGCTTTTAACATTCATTTACTGGTCATATTTTTAAATTTCCCCTTTTTTTTGGAACAATTTACAAAATCCTAAATATCCCACATCCAAAAGTTATTTAGATTAATAAAATTAAACGAAATGGGGCTGAAACATAAAATAATATATTATAAAAAATTAAAAAATTTTAGTGGATTGGCTTAAGAATAAGAACGCCCAGGCCGAAAAAAATAGTTTTTGACCACGCTTAAAATTTTGGTCTCTGAGGGGAGTATCTTGGAAATATTATAAGCGGTTCATTAAATAAATTTTAAAAAAAACCCATTTGTTTTGAATCGTTAAATGTTTCCGTACCTCATTAAAAATGATTAAATTTAATGACTAACTGACATGTTAGATGAAATGTTTAAAAACAAAGGATATTCAATACACGAATTAAAAATTGACCCTAAACACATCTTAAACATAATCTTAAATCTTATAACACCCCTGTATACAAACAGAATTATTTTTCAAATGACTTTCATTCCTATTGATTCAATTTTTTGATTCTTAGAGTAATTTTTTTTATCGATGGTTTTTTTCCATTGACTTTCTTCGAAATTCTAAAAATATAAACATTTTTTTTTCTATTTTTTATTCAAATTATTTTATATATAAAATATGCCATTTCGTAATTTCTTAAGTATTAATATTTGAATTCATTCGATTTCAAATACACTAACCATCATTATTTTTTTATAAGTTTATTTTTAAGAATCAAACTTATGTTCCATAAATGGAACATTGGATACTACAATGAACAAATTGTGTATTAGATATGGGTTATTTTATTTAAATACAACAATTAACAATTTTTACAATCCATCTATTAAGTCTTTTAAAAAATACATATATTTCGTTTTGGGGATATGTGAAATCCTTGGGAATTTCGGAATCTCTCAATTTTATATCTTTTCCAGAAAGACGATATTTAAAATTTGATTTGACAAGAAATGAATTCCAGCGGGTGTAGACTAAGTACCTTATAAATTTCAGACAATTTCTGCCATAAACCTTTGTTAAATTTTAGTATAATCAAAAAATCTATCTAACACAGCTAGAAATTATTCTGGACATAGTCTATTCATGATGGAACACATTTCAGGTCAAATTGGATTCTTAAGATTTTTAAAATGGTTTCTCGAGAAATATGATTTAAAAAGATTGAGAGATTAATTCTGAATCCCAACTAATATTCCATATTCCAATATGGTATTATATAAGATTTTAAAAAAAAATAGTTATGGATTGCAAAATAAAATTAACTGTAACTGGTTACTTTTGAATATATATATAATTAGTAAACTGTAGATAGTCACGTCTTTGAAATGCAAAGACACAAGTAAATAATGTTATTTTTAAAATTAATTTCCTTTTATACTTTAAATATTTTGCATTACATCACACTATTTTTTATCTTTTTATTGGGTATTAAAAAATAATTTTCTTTAAAAACAATATTGATATTATAAGCAATATAAACCAAAAAAGCTATAAAAAAAAATATAATAATTTAATAATGGTATTTAAAAATATAAAAATATTTTTTTAATAAATAAGAATTTTATTTTTGACTATTTATCATAATCGCAGCCTCCATCTATCCTTCTATATTCTCTTTTGTTATAAAACTGTTCGCTAAAAAGAAATAATATATTAAGTATCTTTATAATCGATATTTCTTCTGGAGAAGGATATTTAAAGCAAATTAAAACTCTTTACTCGATATCGAATATTGGGGCTCTAAAATTCAATTTTGAATATTTGTAATTAAATAGAGATTTATTGTGTTAATCAAAAAAAAAATATTTAACAGTAATCGAGGTTCTCCTAGTTATTAGCTTAAGTTTAGCTTTAAAGTTAGCCACATGTTAGGGCATTCCGATATTCTAAGTAATAATTTGCTCGAAATATGTAAAAACAAGATGAATAAATGCAAATAGATGTTACTAATATTCAAATTTGTTACTTGGATAATTTGTATTTATATCCATCAAAACATATAGATTCGTCTTTTAATACGGTGCCATCTTTCACATTTTCTCGCTCACGTAAGGGACTTGTGCATTGGAGTTGGCAGGAATCTCCTATTAAAAATTGTATTCGAATAATAAAGTTTCATAAATATGCACCATTAATGTAAAGAGCCTCCCTGTTCCTAGTTTCATCTTTGCATTCCCAATCATTTGCTGTTTGCGAATCATATGCGGTTTGCAACACTTTCTGGAAGTTGTTTAAAAAAAAATGTTTACTAAAAGAACTTGGTTATATAAGAGATGGAGCTACAATGGACTTCCACAGATTAGAGAGAGCTCTATATGGTGGGGAAGGGGAAGGGGGTGGGAGATAAAAAACTGATACGGCGATATCAGGAACAGTGGAATTCTTTTTATACCCCTAAGCTCTTGCAGGTCTTTTAGGCCAACCTGGAACGTGCATTATTTTCATCTTCTTTGAAATACCTATTGCCAGATTCGTATTGATAATCATAAAAGATAATATTTTAGATGATTTTACGATTGTTGCGATAAGTTTAAAATTATTAAAACAAACTTACTTTTATTTGATTGTTTAAAAAATTTGAAATTCCGTAAAGAATTTATTGAATTCGCAGACCCTCTAATATAGTTGTATGCGTTTCAATGATGCTACTACCTAGACTGAAAGCGATTCATTTATAAAAGGTTTAAGCATTAAAAACGTAAAAACAAGTTGCAATCATGACATAGACTGAACGCCATCGAGTTTCCGTCTAAATGCCGTTCAATAAGGTTTGATACGGCTTTCAATGGCGGACTTTAATGAATGATCAGTCTAAGTTAATATTAATATCAATGATGCGTTATGTAAAATTATTTAACTTACTTCACACTGGACATATTTTGTGCACACCCCATAGCAACTAAAATTAAATAAAAAATCGTGATTTTTATGTTATATGTAATCAGGGCTTGAAACTGGGGGAAGAAGAAAGGTGATGGGGGGGGGGCAATAAAATATTTTTCCTTCTAATCAAAAAATGTGTATTATTTTTAAAGTGGAATTCAAAATACGTAATAAATACCTGATTAATATTAAAAAGTGAGTATCCAGACATCCTATTTTAAAAATGACGACGAAATCTATAATGCAATCTAACAAGTGCGGTCTCCAATCTCCCCCCCCCTCCTCTAGCAACACTTTCAAGTTAGAGCCCTGAATGTAATGTTTTGTGATATATGCTGTAATCTGGTATAAGAACTAATTCGGATGGCATCCTCCCTGTTGAAAAGGAATCTTTCAATTTTAAAACATTTATAATTGTGGATGATCATTAATTTTGAAGAAATCTAATTTTACCAAAAAAAAAATTGAGCATGTGCATGGTATCTATCATGCAAGTTTAAGAAAAATTTATCTTGTAAATTTGGAAAAATTTGGCCTTAAATTTTTAAGCGAATCTTATATTTATACTATGGATTTTAATAAAAACCTAAATTATGCAAGAAAATAGAAATCTTGAATCATCAGAAGAATACCGGATTATTTTTTTATTCAAGTTTAACTTAGCACCTTATACAGATTACAGACATTTGTAATAATAACTAGGGATATGTAAATAATTTTATAAATTAAATATATTTAAAAAAAAATTTAAACACTTGTTTTTTAACAAAAAGATCATTATATCTTTGAAAAAGTCACTATTTGACCAAAAAAAACAAAATAATATTTGCTTACCAAATTTTAGTAGAAAATAAAATTAGATTTATAATAATGAGGTAATTTACTTCTCATAATCATCATCACATTCTATCTTTTGGTAAGGCTTTTCGTAACCCCTGCATTCTTCAACTTCATACCTTCTCCCATTAATCATTTCTTTGTGAGAATAAGTGTCGTGTTTTTCTACAGGTATATTTGTTTTATTTTTGTCAATATTCAAATATATTTTTGTTATTAAAAAAAAGAATGAGTTAAATTAATTACCTATAAAACTAGCAAAGATTAATAGCAATCCAAAGATAAGCATGGTATCAAAAAATATTGATTTTATTTTATTTGTTAAAAAATTTAAGATTATTTGTTTTTAAAAGAAGAGTTTTAAATTTATTTCTGCCTTTTTATAGCCAGGTATATTTTTATATATATATATATTATTTTTTTTTCTTTTCAGATAATTTTTAGATTAAAATAATTTAAGTTATTTGCCTAATCATCATCTGAACAAACAAACTCGTAATATCTTTTTTATTATCATTTATCGATATAATTTAAGTTATATATAATATCCTTTTTTTGTTATAATTTACATGAATATTTTGAGAAATATATATTCCCTACAGACATTTCATCACATTTATTCATAAAATTCGGGAAATTTTAGATATAAATATGATCTTTGGGCGCAATTTATATAAATTTCTATTATCATAATTTTTTTTTATCATACCTAGACATTTTAATCTTTTTCACGAATTATGATGAAATGTTTTTAGATATAAATGTGACTTCTGGCCAAATTTACAACCTTTTTATTATTTCATGGTAAACAGGGTTGTCAGGTCTAAAAATTCAGATGCCGGCGAAAATATTTATAAAAGATTGATCACTACATCTTATTGCATATATCAATTTCAAATTTTCACTGTTGAATTTTTTTTTACTGCAAAATCAAAGTAAAATGTTTCAAAAAAAGAGATGTCAATATGATTGAGTCTGAGAATAGTTGAAAGTATTATATTTGAACTTGAGGAAATTAGAACAAATGTAGATTATCATAAATTATATGTCCTTGTTGAGTCAAAAGTAAGAGGCCTGTGAAATTATTATTTGTCTGCATCATCTCGCAAAAAGGCAAGGGTCATCGTTTTAGTATTATTATAGGGTCAGTCGAAGAATATCATAGAATAAATCTCACCCCCTCTTGGATACCTCTATAACTAAAACGAAATGAAAGGTTTCTTAATTAACCAGGCAGCACTTACAAACCTGTAAATATTTATTACAAAAGAATTCCTCCGAATTTATTTCAAATCTTGTTAAAGAAAGATTAAATATTTGGGCAGATTTTTATTGTGGATGTTCAAGTATCCCTGCCATACTAGCTGAATGCAAAGTATGGTATGAAAGGGGTTAAATATGGTTGATAATGTTCCAAAAAAATGCCAAACTCATTTGAGACTATCCTCATGCATAAAAATTATTTTATTATTATATAAAAGAACATTAACAAAGAATAAAAACATACCTGAAAAGTGGTGTTGTTACATGGCTCGATTTGAGACGATTTTTTAAAAAACCAGAAAAATATTGCCCTAAGACTCGATATTTGACTAATGGATGTCTAAACCAGAGGTCTGCGATGGGTGGGATTTAACTTAAGAGGCCCTCACACTAGGTTGTTTTTAAATTTTAAAACTTGCCCTTTGTTGGCTCGTTTGGCTCTTTATTCATTTATTTTTAATGTTTTATCAATTGTACATATATAATGCGCAATATTATGAATATTATTTTTTTTAATAATTTGACGTATGCCCTGCTCATTTAGCGCGAAAAATATTAAAAAAATTTACCCCACCCACGCACACCCATTACTTTAAATTTTTTTAACCCCTTCCACCACCCCGCCCAATGTTGAAAATATTTTAAAATACCTCCGCCCAAAATATGGGCGGGCGATGGACTAAAAGTCAGTCCATTTCAAACTTTAGCCTAAACCTTTATTCCATCTAAGAGCAAAAATCTTCAGGTTTGCGTAAAATTTTTCCGAATTATATAATGGTTTGACCGCTTTAAAAAATGGGATCAAAATTGAGCTAATTTAACAAAATTACTAAGAAATTCAACCTCTGGGAATTAACACCAAGCGCTGATGAATTCATTGAATAATTGGTTCAATCCCAAGAGTATTAAATTTTATATTATAAATTTATAATACTGTTCTCAATTATATTTTTATTTAATAATTTCAGGATACACCATATATTGAATATTTTTCGAAATTTATGTGTATTAATTCTCAAGAATATTTTTTGTGCGTTAGTCTATATTCCCAATATTTTTTTTTTGAAATATATTATTTAAATTTATAATAAAATTTATCATTTTTTTTACAAAATTTTTTTCGAGAAATTTTATATTATAATGATTCATATTCTATTATATACTTTTAATACCTCCAGGCATTTATAATATATATAAAAAAATTTATGAAAAAACTAATATAAAATAGCTTTATATTCAAAAGTTCGTGGAAAAATTGTATGAAATTCATAGAGTAGGTATTCCAAACATGGCTGGAATACATTTCTGGTAAAATCGGTTTCTTAAATTTATAAAAAATGTGCTTAATAAATGTTTTAAAATTGAAAAAATAACGAATTGCCAGGAAAAAAAAACAATGTCGCTAACATATATAATATTCAAAATTTTTTATTTTTTTTTAAATCCTCAGCTAAATAGTAAATATTTCATTCAAAAATAGCGAAAAAGATTTAATTTTATAAAAATTGTCCTTCGATATTTTATGAAAGTTTTAAGAAAAAAAATTATAAAATAACATACATTATATTCGTTTAAAATTTTCACTTTTTATATTTTATTGGATGACTTTTGATCGAATAGTATAGATTCTATTCGCATCTTTACAATAATAATTACTTAAATGAATTTTTTTTTTAAAATATATAATCTGTTGATTTTTTTTGGTCTTTGTTAACACGCGAAAAGCTATGAAAGCCAAATATTCCTTGAATTCCATAACAGATCAAAAGTTCAAGGCATTATTCGAAGATCATTAAGAAGAGTCTAGAAGAAAATCGAGAAGACCCATTTAAAGATAATATCGTGTCCTAGTTATAAAAAAAATAAAATAAAAACAATAAGATGCGTCAAATGAAGTGTAATTAGAATTTCTGGGAAGGGTGATGTCGATTATATACGATAATATCTTTAGTTCGTTATTTCGTCTATATTCCATCTTTTTAAAAGGGGTGACGTAACATACTCCCAGCGTCTACATGACAGGATTTTCACTTGATGCAAACCCCCTTCAAAAACCTTTGCCTACCCCCCTTAAAAATCGCCGCCTTCGGCGGCGGTGTCTCTTTATCATTATTTTCACCTATTTATTTATTGATACTCTTTTCAAAGAATTTATAAAGGATAACTTAAATTAATTTATCTCTACTACCAACTATCGATATTTTGTGAATATAAAAAATTCAATTAAAACCTCCATTATTTACAATGAATTTATTATTATGGCATTATGAGCTTGCTAAAATATCTTAACCTTTTAAATTACATTTAAAAGGATAGTTTATTTGGAAAACAATGTGTATGTTTGTTTGCAATATAGATTTGGTCGATGAATTGTATTATAATAATACTATAATATGAATTAATTTTTACAGCAATAAATTTTGTTCTATTTCATCTCAAAGTTTAATAGATAACCCCCCAAAAAATTTATCCTACCCCCATTAGAGCAGCTTACCTCCTACCCCCTCAAATAAAAATATGCAAACTTTTCCTACCCCTCCCGCTCATGTAGACCTTGCATAATCCTCAAATTACTACAGTGAAGAATGTGATACGCCACCATTAGATGTATCCCTAATCATTTTAATGCACTTTCCTCCCTGTTTACCTTGGTTTTTGGGGTTGGAGACAAAAGAATAGCATTCAAAAAGAGAAAAAAAACATAATTGAAATAATAAACATTCGAACTAGACTTTCGAGAAATACAAAGACCAAATCCGATTTAAAAGAGAATACGAACATAACTACCTTAATTCATTTATTTTTTGCTACCCAAGATATTAGAGATTAAAAAATCTCTCTTTTTTTATACTAATTTTAAAAGTAATTTTAAAAGTGAATGTAATTTATAATATTTTACTTTACTCCCTAAATTAATAT